TCTGAAAAAGTATCAAAGGGGGACCCTTTGGGTCGGCAGGGGGTCGAATCCCCGAGGGGGGCCTCTCCCCCTAGTTGAACACCTCCCACATAGTGTGAACACCCCCCGCCAGTTTATCACCTCCCCCTCCAGTTTACAACCCCCGCAGCTTACCAAGCCCTCCCTCACAGTTTACCACAACCGCCTTTCCCCCTCCTCTCCGCGATTGGGGGGTATAGGTAAAAAATTTGAGGGGGTGAGAGGTTGACGTTGAAACATGGCAATTAGTAGAAGACATGGCATATATTTTGCAAATTGCTTGCAAAATTTGATAAATATCTGCAAAAATAACCGAATTTAGTTCTAAAAATGAAATGGATCATAATCAATTATACCAAATTTTTATTTCAAAAATAATTAGTCATAATAAATTATCTTGGCAAAAATAATCGATTCCAGTGGCCAAAATGTTGGATTATAATCGATTATAATGGATTTTTTCTTTTCAAAAATAACCGATTATAATGGCAATATAATCGATTTCGTGGTCTGAATTGTACATCTGTTATAAATTATAATAGATTATTTTTGTCTCGAGAATCCATTATAATCGATTAAAATCCATGGACGCTCGGTGAGGGTCATGGTTTTTATAAAATCGATTTCAATATCAATAGTGTGAAGTAATTGCCTGGATGTTATGGATGTTATCTAACTCTTATGGATGTTACTTAATCTTGATACTTACAAATAGTGTTTAATGTTTAGCTGGTTGAAATCAACTGCAAAGTATTAGTGTGTGAGAGCGAGAATAACATATACTGACTTAAAAAAAAACAATAATTGCGAAAACTAATCAATTAATGATAAAACAGTAGTGAAAAACATGCCCAAGGTTGCGAAATTACAAAACCACTGAACCATTTGTGATGCTATCATTTTTGCAGCTGACATGCTCAATTTCTTGAACATTCGATTTTTACTAGTAGCCAAATACTTTTCAAATCTAGAAAGAGTCGGCCCATTGTTCATCTGTTACTTTTTGTCGGCTTAGAAGCAACAGCATGATTGTTTTTTATTCATCCAATTTTCATTACATTAATTATCAATTTTATTTCTTGTAATTTCATAATTTGTAATTCTTGATTCTAAATATTTCAATTTTTTGAATCTTTTTGTTCCGACTGACGATACGAAAGTAACGGAATACTTGTGCTCGGGGTGAGTTTTTTGTTCCGACTTTCGATACGAAAGTAACGGAATATTTGTGCTCGGGTTGGGTTTTTTTTCTTCAGACAAATTTCGACTTTTTAACTAGCCATTTTTGACGGAATTTTTTATATCATTCGAAAGGTATTTTTGTCTTGAGCTCAAATTTGAAAAGATATTTCACCTGTGATCATTTTTCGTAAAGTTATGGGGGTTTACAGATTGCCAATTTGGGACAATTAACGCGCGATATATTTCGCGCTATTAACGCGTAAGCGGATTGTTAATCCGTCTTAGAAATCGTTTCAAATTGGTTTAACGAAGCTTATTTGCCATAATTGATATGTTACAAGTAGCGAAATCTATCTTTTTGTACTTTATATGGCGTGTGGGGGGATGATTTAAAAAAAATTAAAAATTTTTGAAAGAAAAATTTTCATTTTGTTTTATTACTTTTAATTTTTTAATGATATAACTGCTCCATAAACCTTAATGGGCAGTCGGAACATTCAGAGCTTCGCCTTGATACGAGCAGTCTTGTTTTTCTTCAGACAAATTTCGACTTTTTAACTAGCCATTTTTGACGGAATTTTTTTATATCACTCAAAAGGTATTGTTGTCCTGAGCTTTAATTTGAAAAAATATTTCATCTGTGATCATTTTTTGTAAAGTTATGAGGGTTTAAAGATTGCCATTTTACCAATTTGTGACAATTAACGAGCGATATAATTCGCGCTATTAACGCGTAAGCGGAGATTTAATCCGTCCTTTAAATCGTTCCAAATTGGTTGAACGAAGCTTATTTGCATTAATTGATTTGTTACAAGGAACGAAATATATACTTTTGTACTTTATATGGCGTGTGGGGGGGATGATTTTCATAAAAAATTTCAAATGTTAGAAATTTTTTTTTTTTTTTTCATTTTGTTTTATTTCATTGAATTTTTTTAATGTTATTACTGCTCTATAAACCTTAAAAGGCAGTCGGAACATTCAGGGCTTCGCCCTGATGCGAGCAGTCTTGTTAGTGTTTTAAATAGGGGATATTTGGCTGAAATAGTTTCAGACTCCCATATATTGACCCGATCGTTTTTTAACGCGTTAGTTGGAACTAAAATTGTACATCTTTCCAAGAGTGGTGCGCGTATAAACTTCGGTTTTTAAATCTTCATAGTCCATAGTGTTTCATACAACAATTTTGTTTGCAGCTTATTGGCTTAGTTATCGCAAAATATTTCTGAACGTTGGTTTAATACCAACTTTTGTGTTTCTCGAAATTTTTGTTTGTCTTTAGTCAGGCATTTTTCAATATCTTTGTAATTCACTCTTTATCGACGTTAAAGCTTCCTTTTTACTTGCAGTCCGCTAGTTTACAATGTTTTGTTTGTGTAGTACCGCAAGTTGTATGAAGCTCCGCTTTGCCTCTGCCTAATGGATTTTTTTTAAAACAAATTATCGTCTTTGACTCTTCTGAACGCATTTTTTGGCAATATAGTAGCCTCACGAGTTCGGCGCTGTGTATATGTATTATTTAGGGATTCTCTAGTGCACAAAATATAGTTGATTAACGATGCTAGTGTTTAGCTCCGAGCGCGGTATTTTGATCGATGTTTCGACTTTAGTTCGAATTGGCCTATGTTTTGACCAAGATCGATACACCCAAAAGATCGACCAAACTCATACGTCCCATTAATAGTTCGGCAATTTATAACGTGTTTTTTTAAAGTTTACTATGAAAACAATAAACAAAAAATTGTCATTTGTAAAAAACGCTGAAACGTTTAACGATTGTCTACCGCCTAAGCCTTTAGATCTAGAAACTTTACGGTAACCTTTGGATTTCATGGTTTATTGTACAAAACTCTCCTAGAGAGACTGTTGGTAAACCCATAACTCTGATAGAATATTTCTTTTTCCAAGATTTTATAATAAAAATTTAAACGATTCATGGCTTTGAAATAGTTCGACTTTATCTTTCGACCCAGTTCGACTGCATGCGTTGATTCAGTTTTTTTTTAATTTTTCACTTTCATTTCGACTATAGACCCTGCGCGACAGTGAATTTCTGGTCAAGCTAAGATATCTGGCTCGACCTATTCGACGGAAATATAAGGTCAAAAATATCGACCCTGGTAGCGTGAGACCATAAAACGGGTAATGAGATAAACTTTGGGCTGTTGTCGAGATGTAATTTACCTTGAAATTTGGTTTCTTGACCAAGAAGTTCAACATGCTGACATTTGGAAACTGCATGAACTCGATAAAAAGTTAGGTTACTTTGACTGCAATATTTTACTGTTGTCTTAAATGACTCTGAAATAAACTGCCATACGCAGCTAAGCGTATGCAAAGCGTTATTATATTTGCCCCTTCTGATCATATGAAAAATATATTTTTCCACGTTTGCACGCATATAAAAACGAACTTTATAAAAAATTATACTGAAAAAACAAATAGTTATAGTCACTCTCTCTACTATTGTCTCCCTGTTATGGTCTCCCTAGAACAATGAAACTGTTTTTCGATCACTGAACATTGTTGGAAGAAAAATTGTAACTGCATACATGTTCGTTTACTTTGTGCATTAATAAAGCTAGTTTTACAGATCAAGAAATGAATAAACTAGGTTTAGAAAAAAATGAACGGATATCGATTTATCTTTTTGAAAACGGGATTTAATCACTTCTTGCTTTTCAAAACCAGATTGTTCGGTGCTGTTTTTGCTCTAAGTTATTGAATATATGTGCATATATAGTTTATTATCTCAAAAAGATTCCTGTGGTCGGAATTTTTGCACCTGCGAGGGAGACGATAACGGTAACTTCAAACCATTTTGACATTGTTAGTGTATAAAATTTCTAACAAATTTCCATTGTTTAAATACGCTGTCTTTTTCACATTTTTCAACCTATTAGTTTTTAGTGATATTTTTCAACAGCTTCAACTTTTAATAACTGCACCGTTGTGATATATACTGGAATGAAGTCATCTTCCTTTACAGCCTATATTAAAGCACAGCAAAACTGCAATCATTGTAACACAAAAGCAGATCCAAATCACGAGTTAGTGAAACTTTTTTGCTCCAAAACTTCTTAAGTTTGAAAAAAAACACACTTATAACCAGCCCTCAGCTGCGTGTCCGTTTGATATATACTGGTGAAAGAAAGAAACGCAACTATTTTTTAAGGGCTTTTCTTTAGTTTCCCTGAAGAAAGTTTTTGAGTCTGAAAATTTTTCAATCTGCATTTGAATACAAGAAGTTATCACCACTATTGAGATTGTTTAGCCGACCAGAAGTTGCAAAAGTTAGTTTTCACGCCACAGAAAGTTGATTTCCGTTTAGAGAATATTTGGAATTTTCTAACCTGTTTATAAGAGAAGTACAGGAAGTTGTCAGCTGATGTTTTGTTATTATTGTAGCCCTAAATCACTAACTCCTGTACGATATCAAAAATTTTGGAAAATGGAAGAAAACAATTTCGAACCAAAGCCAAAAAATGAGTAGTTTTTTGGTATCAAAACTTTTTGTTGGGTTTCAAGTCGCAGTTTTATACTAACTTATTTAGAATTTGTATGGAAAAGCATTTGAGAGCAAAACTAAGATGATTGTTATACCTATTTCATTTATTGTTATATAAAATTGTTGTTCTTTTCTGTTTTAAATTTATTTAGCTGTGTTACTTTCTTTCTTCAGCATACAAGCAATTGGTTATCTGCTTGTTATATGCAATAGAATCAGTAAAAAGCTGAAAAAATAAAAAGCTATCTGAACTACAAAATCATTATGTTTTCTTTACACACCATATGGCAAACAGAAGCTTCAATTAAGTACACAGTTTTTTTGACTTGCTAATTCTTTTTTTACTTCATAAATTGATTATCTACAGTTTGTTGCTTTTTCTAAATGGTCAAAAAAAAAATTCAAAGTCTTGATTTGAACACATTTTGACCCGTTTTTCTTTTTTTTACAATTATTTAAAAAAAATAACCTGTCACTTGTTTGGTTACAAGTCGTCTCAAAATGTCAAAACTTGAATCGAGCGATAGTTCAGAAACAGAACAACTTATCGATGAAGATGATGAACAAAATTACGAGGAAGCATTGCTTCAAAAACTGTCATCAACCAGATATCAATTAAGTGTTATGGGTTTCCTAGGATTTGCGTTAATTTATTCTTTTCGTATTAACATGAGCATTGCCCTGGTCGACATGGTTAAGCAACCCGCGGCAGAAAAATCTGGCCCTGCGAATAAAAACTGTCCTGTTTGGAATAAGGACACCTCTTCCCAAAACAACGACGTCGGAACTTTCGATTGGACGCCTAAAGAACAAGCAAATGTGTTGGGCGCTTTTTATTACGGGTACATGGTAGCTATGATTCCCGCCGGATACTTGGCGACCAGAATTGGTGGGAAACAGATGTATGGCCTTGGAATTGTTCTAACAGCTGTGTTAACATTACTAACACCTGCAGCAGCTCACCTTGGCATCTGGTGGTTGATAATTCTGCGAGGGTTAGAAGGAATCACTGAAGCTGCAACTTTTCCTGCTTTCCACCATTTGAGCGGCCGATGGACGCCCAAATTAGAGCGATCAATATTTGCATCTATGACTCTTTCTGGATCCTTTTTCGGCAATATGATCACACAGCCTATCATCGGCTACTTGTGTACCCTTGAACTCTGGAACGGCTGGCCTTTAGGCTTCTACGCAAACGGGTTATTAGCTATAATCTGGTACGTTGCCTGGTGTTTTTTGGTCTATGAGTCTCCGGACAAACATCCCCGGATTTCAGAACGAGAGAGAAATTATATCAATTCGCAAACACAAATTGACGACGATAAACCAACCGCAATACCTTGGAAAAGTATCTTGACAAGTTTGCCTGTGTTTGGCATAGTAGCGGCCCATTTTGCCAACAACTTTATGCTTTATGGTATGATGTCCTTTTTGCCCCTATACTTTGCAGATGTGTTGAATTTCGACATTGCTTCCAATGGAATTCTGAGCGCCTTACCTTGGGTGTCCGTGTTTATTGGTACCTTAACAGCAGGTCAATTAACCGATTTGTTGCGAAGCAGAAGTTTGGTCACGACGACATTTGCACGTAAATTCAACCAAGTGATATCAACGTTTTTACCAAGTATATTCTTACTATTAGCTGGCTACGCAGGTTGCGATGACATCAAAGCGATTCTCTTTCTGGCTGTTGGAATGCTCTTTTTTGGGGCCGCAGGCTCTGGCTTTTACTGCAACAATTTAGATCTGGCGCCTCAATTTGCAGGAATTATTTACGCAATCAGCAATTTTTTTGCGACTCTTTCTGGATTTTTAGCTCCCCTAATAGTAGCAAGTTTGACTGAAGAAAACGTTCATAGTAGCGTGTTATGGATTCACGCTTTTTATGTGTTTGCCGGAGTTTCGTGGCTCGGCGGTTCAACTTTTCTTCTGCTCGGATCCGGAGAACTTCAAGCATGGGCAGTTATTCGAAATGGCTAAAACGGAAAGAAACCATAGCAGAAACGATTGCACAAATAACAAAGATTTTTCGGACGTCGGGATCAAATGATGGGCTATGATAGTGACCCTAGTTGACCAAGGATAGTTAGTTATCTGGCAAAAACATTTTTTGAAAAAAATCTTACAAGATATTACAAGCTAACATCTTTTGCAAAAATCATGCAAGATCTCGCAAGATAAGCATACTGAAACAACAAGGAGAGGTCTACCTTGACTTATAGATTCCAACGTCTAAAAGGTCCCATTCATTCTATTAAAAAATATATTATATGATTAAAACAATTTGTTGGCTCTCACTCGAGTTTTGAATGACATACTATGAAGATATACTTGAATTAATAATTTAATAAATATTTCAAAGTTACAAGTTTTGATCTTTTTCAAGGTTCCAAAACATTCGGCTGCTGAAAAGTATTTTCAAAGAAATTTTCAGAGATATTTGAATATTTTAAGAGATAGAATAGATGCAGATATTTCCGTTGTACTGGTGTCAATCACACTTTTGGCAACAGCTTATCATTGCTAAATTTTTTTGTCAGTTTTTTCAATATCGAAATGAAAATCCCATTCTAAATTTTTATTTACAACTTGAGAAATTGATAACAAAAAAAAGAAAAAGATTCGATAGTCAAAAGATTGATTTGGAGGTCGTTTTTGTACCATTCATCAAAAATATAGAAAAAACTGAAATAGCTTAAATGATATAGCAAATTAAAAATTAACCAAGAATATCCGATTGCTGTGCAAGTTGCACCGAATTTTTCAACCATATTCATTAAATAACGAGAAAAAGTAGTTTTTGAAATTTTTTTCCAAAATAGTGTAGTTTTCAATGCGTGGCTTGGTTTGAAAACAATACGATCGCGTAGAAAATTAATGAAATACGCATGAGTAACAACATTTGTCTTCACAAAATGAATACCAAGCAAAAAAGGAAAAAAATACTAAAAAAAGTTTTTTTTTGCGCATAAATTTAAACTTTTTTCAATGAAAATCCTTTTTTGCCAATTAAGCGATGAGGTCAACATAATTTTTTTAAATCAAAGTTTTTTCAACCTAAGAGTTTGAAAAAAATAATAATTTCTATATAACGGGCGTTAATTGCTCGAATTAGGACTAAATCTCAAAAAAAATCTTGTGTTGCACTGTATCAGTAATATTCAGATATTTTCGACCGTAATACGCCAGACATTTCAGCAAAAACAGAATTGAATTTTTAAGTAGTTTGTCAGTTTGGCTCATCTGAATTAATCTAGATTAGCGACACGATCTGATTCTCATGAGCTTTTTCTCTTCGTGTGAAATAAATAAACTGCCTCAGGACATTTCGAATTTTTGAAAGAAGTTTGTTTCTTTTTAGCAGCACTATGTGAGTCTAATACTTTATAATTTGAAATCCGCGCCGTTAAAAAAACCAAGGCTTTGATTAAAGACTATTGACTTGGTTAGGTTCCAAGAGCAAATGAATTTTTGGTCATTGACAATGCGAGTAACATGTCAAAATGAATTGTGCAAAATTATAGTGAGTGAAGAAGATATTATATAGCTGGAAGGAAAAAAGAAGATTTTTTTTGCAATAGTTTTCTCATTTCGAACTACATCAGTCAAGTTAGACATTGCAAATTGAAACATTTCGGAAAAAAAATCAAATAACCAAAAAATGCCAAATATTTCAGCAAAAAGGAAATTAAAACTTTTCAGGCATTTTCAGTATGACACCTCTGAAACAATCTAGATTACCGACAAACACTTAATGACCTGAGCTTTTCTTCTTTGTGCCGAGTTTAAGTGCAGCGTTCGTCTTCATTAAATTTTAATATTTATGCTAAAATGATATTTTAGCGGGAGTTCCTCCAAGTTTTTTCAACTGAGTTGAACACATTTTGTTATCATTTGTTCATTAACAAGTGTCGTGATGTACTTAACTGCCTCTAGATAAATTGAATCTTAAAATGAAGTATCAATTTAGTAGCAGCATATAGGTTTAACCGCGGTAAACGTTAAAATTGCCTCCTTCTAAAGTAATCCTTTCAATGGACTAAAAAGATGTTTTAAAGTTAGGCTGTAAGAGTAAATAACTTGTTTGGTCACTGTTAATGTGATCGAGATGGCACAATGAAACGTGCACAATTATAGTAAGTGCAAGAAGTATCAATTAGCGTGAAATTCGGAAAAAATTTTGTTTCATAAAATAGTTGTCATGTTCAGATATCACAAACTGAAAATTTTTAATCAGAATGCGCCAGTTATTTTAGCAATTTTAAAATTGAAACTTTGCAGGCGTCTCAGTTTGACTCCTTCGTAACAAAAAAAAATTAGAAATATTTCTTTTTTGGTGTTTTGGCTGATATGTCTCGGGCTGAGCACACATCTTCGGCTGATACTCTATACATTGTGATATCATTTGTTGCTTTTTTTATGTAAAATTGTAAAGTGAAGTAACTGCATGTGGAAATGTTCAATCTTATCTTCACAATTCTGCCCAGCGCAAGCATGTAGACCTAAATGAAAGAACTTTTTTTGTATTCAGTGCCAGTGATTTTTAAGATAACACAAGGCAATCTCCAATATTACAGTCTGTGCAAAAATGACTATTTAGTTGGGAGCATACAAGAGGTTTGTCTCAACTGTGATTTCGTTTCAAAAAAGGTTGGGAAAAGCTCACATTAAATAAAATCTGATAAAAAGTTTTCAAAATTGAGTTGTCAGTGTTACCTCCTAGTGTGTTGGCTAGCTATCTCAGCCTGCAGTAAGCTCGTGATGAGAAAAGTTCCGACTAAATAACATGTTTGAAAACTGATTTGATTTCATGTTACAATTCAGGTAAGCATCAACACGGATGTCCTGCACAATTTTTATCCCCTAACTTTTTTTAAAGTACGACGAAAACCACAGGAAAGTATCTTATTGACACATTTGACTACAAAACAGAAGCTCATTACCACAAAATTTGGATTAACTTTGCATACTACTCGACAGTCGCTCAATTAAATTTATCGCCACACAAATAAGTCGACTTAAACAACCTGAAAACACACAAAGATTCAATAAAAATATCCAAGATAGTTGATGGTTAACGGAAAAAAGGGTATGGGGTTTTGAGACTCTTCTAAATGAGGACATAACATACATAACCATCTTTGACCACACAAATAGCGATATTTAAAGTACATATTATATAAGGCGAAGGCTTACCTAACATACGTCTATACACTATATAAGTCAGCTTTTGTGGTAAAAGTAGATGTCTTACATTCTCATTTGGAAAACATTGTTGTATCGCCAGCAGCGACTGAAAAAAAATGTTTTTGTTGTAATAAAAGTATAGGATTACCACTAGTAACTATTAGATGTAACTAAGATTAAAACAGAGTAAAAAGTAATGTATGAATTAAAACTGACTGTAGTCTAAAAGAGCAACTAGTGACTCGAAGTCCAATGGACTTCGTACAATAGACGTTAACTGGTACTTGATTAAACAATAAAGGTCAAGGTTACAACATACTAAAAAACTAAATCACAACATTCCCCACTGCACAAAAATTTATATCTGACCGCTCCTCGATGTAGCCAATATCACTCATATACTCCATTCTCCCCTCACTCCACCAGGGTCAAAGTTGAAACAAAACGCAACTGCATTTAGCACCAATGGAAACTTACAGAGAGAAAAAATTACAATGGAGGTGATTATATGGCAATATATACAGGCTACCTGCAAGTTTACACAGATATCTACAATGACTGTACAAAATGTTATGTACAATTGGGGTTATGTGGCATTTATACAAATAAAACAAACTAATTTACGTCACTAACTAATTAAAAAAACTTGAGTAATCCACTGGAGATAAGTTCGAAAAAAAACTAAAAGAGATATAATATTACGAGAGTTTAAGAATTTTCAGAGTTTAAACGCTTGGCGTTAAATCTGTCATGAAAGCTATCGGCCTCTCTCCTTGCATCTGAATCAATGCCTGAGGATATGTCGCTGCCGTCATCATCCTGAATGTTTGTACCAACTTCTACCAATGGAGATGGTAAACTCGCGACATTGGTTGTTCCAGAAGTGGGTGTTGAAGAGGGGCCTTGTGTGGTTTCCGCCACCAGTGCTGGGTGCCGTGGTATATCTTCAACTGGTGTCAAATAATCCAAAGGGGACGCCGTAGAGTAGTTTTTCTGTGTCCGTGGACTCTTTAAGCTGGAGAATGTACTTAGGGGTTCGTCATCGGACTCTGCTACACTGCCGGTCTCCGTTACTAGCGTCACTTGGTCAATAAAGCGCCTGTCTTCGTAAAATTTGGGGGGCCTGGATTCCTTCTTGAACGGGGTTTGATGGATACCGGAGTTTTGGGCGTCTCTAATGTCTTCTCTTTTTGTGGTAAAAGTAGATGTCTTACATTCTCATTTGGAAAACATTGTTGTATCGCCAGCAGCGACTGAAAAAAAATGTTTTTATTGTAATAAAAGTATAGGATTACCACTGGTAACTATTAGATCTAACTGAGATTAAAACAGAGTAAAAAGTATTGTGTTAATTAAAACTGACTGTAGTCTAAAAAAGCAACTAGTGACTCGAAGTCCAATGGACTTTGTACAATAGACGTTAACTGGTACTTGATTAAACAAAAAAGGTCAATGTTACAACATACTAAAAAACTAAATCACAACATTCCCCACTGCACAAAAATTTATATCTGGCCGCTCCTCGATGTAGCCAATATCACTCATATACTCCATTCTCCCCTCACTCCACCAGGGTCAAAGTTGAAACAAAACGCAACTGCATTTAGCACCAATGGAAATTTACAGAGAGAAAAAATTACAATGGTGGTGATTATATGGTAATATATACAGGCTAACTGCAAGTTTACACAGATATCTACATTGACTGTACAAAATGTTATGTACAATTGGGGTTATGTGGCATTTATACTAATAAAACAAACTAACTTACGTCAATAACTAATTAAAAAAATTTAAGTAATCCACTGGAGATAAGTTCGAAAAAAAAGAGATTTATTATTACGAGAGTTTAAGAGTTTTCAGAGTTTAAACGCTTGGCGTTCAATCTGTCATGAAAGCTATCGGCCTCTCTCCTAGCATCTGAATCAAGGCCTGAGGATATGTCGCTGCCGTCATCATCCTGAATGTTTGTACCAACTTCTACCAATGGAGAAGGTAAACTCGCGACATTTGTTGTTCCAGAAGTGGGTGTTGAAGAGGGGCCTTGTGTGGTTTCCGCCACCAGTGCTGGGTGCCGTGGTATATCTTCAACTGGTGTTAAATAATCCAAAAGGGACGCCGT